GTACTCACAAGGAACTCCTTGTGTTGATTTTCAAAATATCGAATATCGCGGGGTTGCGTTAGATGGGAGCTATACGTTATCGTTAACCTATATAGAGAATTCTCTGTCGGGGGGTAAAGTGCTCACAACGAACCACTTGTGTACAAAGAACCCCTTGTGACCATTCCGTTGAAAAATGTCGATAAAATCATCAAAATACCAAATATCGGGGGTACCGTTATATGGGCGCTATAGGATATGGTGGACCAATATAGGTCCATACCTCTGCCGAGGTACCGTTATATGGGGATATACGGTACCGTGGACCTGTATAGACAATTCTCTCTCAGGGGGTAAAGTACTCACAAGGAACTACTTGTGTGGATTTTAAGACAATTCCATTGAAAAATGTGGCTAACATCATCAAAATACCGAATATCGGGGGGTACTGTTATATGGGGGATATATGATATCGTGGACCTATATAGACAATTCTTTTTGAGGGGGTAAAATGCACACAAGGGACTCCTTTTGTGGAATTTCAGACAATTCCATTGAAAAATGTGGCTAAAATCATCAAAATACCGAATACCGTGGGGGTACCGTTATATGGGGGCTATACGATATTGTGGACCTATATAGATAATTCTCTTCCGAGGTATAAAGTACCCACAAGGAACTACTTGTGTGGATTTTCAGACAATTCTATTGAAAAATATGGCTAAAATCATCAAAATACCGAATATCGGGGATACCGTTATATGGGGGCTATACGATATCGTAAACCGATATAGCCCACCTTCAAACTTGACCTGCCTGCGGGCAAAAGAGAGATCTGTGCAAAATTATACCTTCCTCTCTTAATTCGTTTACACTGTAGCGTGATTACAACAGACGGACGGATAAGGCTAAATCGTCTTAGAATTTTACGCTGATCAAGAATATATATACTTTGTTGGGTCTAAAATTATTATTTCGATGAGTTACAAACGGAATGACGAACATAATGTACCCTCCATACTTTTTTTGGTGGAGGGTATAAAAAGCACAAGAACTTACACCGCAAAAGAAAGAAAATAGACTCAAAAGAGCTAAAGAGTTGCTTCGCTTGGCCGAAAGTGGTCATAACAGAAGTCAGAATATTTTTAAATAATCGAAGAAAGGCTGAGGGTATTAGTCTGTCGGCAGAACCGATTGATAATTTTTATTTTTATACCCTACACCACAAGGTGGTCAGGGTATTATGTCTTTTTTGCATTTTTTTGTAACAGGCAAAAGGAAACGAGATAGGCCCATAGTTCCTTTTGATGATCTGCATAGAATCACATTCTGAGTCGATTTATGTCTGTCCGTCTGTCCATTATTTTAGTAAACAAAGTACAGTTCGCATTTATTGCCCTATCCAGATGAAATTTTGCACAAATCATTTGTTTGGGCCAAGGACGAACCCTATGTTTTGGAGATAATCGCTCAAAATTTAGATATAGCTCTCATATATATCTTCGTCCGATTTGCCTTTTATTGTGCACCAAACGTGTAATATCGAATGGTATGGAATTTTGCACATACAACCAGATTAGGCCTGAAAATAAATATGCCAAATTTTATCGAAATCCGTTCAGATATAACTATAGCTCCCATATATATTGTTCATCCGATTTGTTATTTTCGTTCTCCGCACCCGTAATATGCACTCTGTAACAACAATATTTTGGGAAATATATCAAATACAACTCAGAAATACCTTTGGTAAATTTTATCGAGATCGGTTCAGATTTGGATATAGCTCCCATATATAACTTCGTCCGATTTACTTTTTATTGTGCACCAAACGTCTAATATTTGTCGAAATGGGATGGAATTTGGCACTTACGACCGAATTGAGTCTAGAAGCTTGTATATAAAATTTGGTGAAGATCGGTTCGGTTCGGTTCAGATATAGCTGTAGCTCCTATTTATACTCTTCATCCGATTTGTTACACTTGTTACCCATATCTGTAATATGTACTCTGTAACGACGATTTTCAGGGAAATTTATCAAATACAGCTCAGAAATATCTTTGCCAAATTTTATCAAGATCGGTTCCGATTTGGATATAGCTCCCATATATATCTTTATCCGATTTCAAGTTAATTGTGCACCAAATGGGTAATACAAGTACGAATTTAGAAGATACAAATGCTTCGGCATATTTAGTCCTTTGAACTTTAAATTATAATCATAGCTGGAACGAACTTTTAATTGTTATGCGGAGCTCTACTAAATTAGCAAAGTGGTGTAGGGTATCATAAAATCAGCCCCCTCCCGACTTTAAGACTTTCTTTAATGTTTTTTTTTTAAATCCATGTTTATTGCTTGGATAATCCTTAATAAAATACTCATTAAAATCCAAGTTTATAGCTTAAATTGTCCTTGAAAAAATCTATTTAAAAATCCACCTTTATAGCTTGGAGCATTGAAGACATCTGACAGCTATTTTGTAAGAATCCTCTTAAATAGTTCGGATGATCCTTGAAAAAAAATTCCTTAAAAATTCACGTTCACAGTTTTTAGGATCCTTAAAAATACTGTTTAAACATCAATGTCTCTAGGTTGGATACCAAGGACCATCCATCTTTATGAAAATATTCCTCTACCATTGGTGGAACCTTAAGTCGACCTGACTACCAATGGGTTAATAAGAGACATTTTTTATATTTTTTGTTTTCAAATAATCCAGTACATCACCCAACCAAGTGTCCAGAGTCCGCCATTTTCTCCAGCCTCCGATTGAAACACACACAACACCAATTATTTTTTTTTTTTTCAAAAAATTTTATTTTATTTATTTATTTAATTATTGTATTCCTCATTTTCCAAAAGATTTCGATTGTGCATTGGCATTAGCGTTAGCAATAGCGGCACTGTTACCTCCAAGACTGGAAGCGTTGGCATTTGCATTAGCTGTGGCACTTGCGGCACCACCACCGAAACCACCGCCACCAAAACCACCACGGCCTCCCTTAAATCCTCTTTGGGGACTGGCACTGACGGCCAAAATGGCAACGAACAAGGCGAATAAAATGGCGAAAATTCTCATCTTTGCTGGAAGATTCTCAGAACTGTTTGAATGCGGTGCAAACGATGCGTTTGTATTTTATAGCGTCCTAATTATTTTCTTTTTTTGGGTGAGTAGCGCATCTGCCCGCAGCTAAACAATGTCAAACAAGTCGAACTGGCTTCAAATGCAGTGCCAATAAGTTATGATCATGTGTTTGATTTAGAAAAAAAAAATATTAATGTCGATATATTTAGCAATTAATAGATAAGTGTGGAATATAGAAGCTTCTGAATAACGAAAACGAGTAATAAATAAATAAAAAAAATATAACTACCGTTTAACTGGCAAATGTTGATTTTTTTTTAGAAATTTTTAGGGGACTTTTTTCGGTTTTGAATATGCAAATACTGGAGAACCGGTTTTCTATGGCTTGAGAAAGTTTTAGCTTTGGGTGATGGGTAGTTTTTTGGGTGAACATCTAAATTAACAAAAATCGGATATCATTTGTGATATCATAGAGTTCCTTTTAACAATGTGTTTTTAAGGACCCTCCAAGCTATATACGAGGACTTTTAATGACATTTTTTTCAAGGACCCTCCAAGGCATAAACTTGGATTTTTAAAGAAGATTTGTTTCAAGGACGCTCCAAGGCATAAACGTGGATTCATAAACGTGATTTTTTAAAGAAGATTCTCTCCAGGGACCATAAACGTGGATTTTTAAAGAAGATTCTCTCCAGGGACCATAAACGTGGATTTTTAAAGAAGATTCTCTCCAGGGACCATAAACGTGGATTTTTAAAGAAGATTCTCTCCAGGGACCATAAACGTGGATTTTTAAAGAAGATTCTCTCTAGGGACCATAAACGTGGATTTTTAAAGAAAATTCTCTCCAGGGACCATAAACGTGGATTTTTAAAGAAAATTCTCTCCAGGGACCATAAACGTGGATTTGTAAAGAAAATTCTCTCCAGGGACCATAAACGTGGATTTTTAAAGAAAATTCTCTCCAGGGACCATAAACGTGGATTTTTAAAGAAAATTCTCTCCAGGGACCATAAACGTGGATTTTTAAAGAAAATTCTCTCCAGGGACCATAAACGTGGATTTTTAAAGAAAATTCTCTCCAGGGACCATAAACGTGGATTTTTAAAGAAAATTCTCTCCAGGGACCATAAACGTGATTTTTAAAGAAGATTGCCTCTAGGGACCATAAACGTGGATTTTTAAAGAAGATTCTCTAAAAAAACGATCAAGACCATAAACGTGGATTTTTAAAGAAGATTCTCTCCCGGGACCATAAACGTGGATTTTTAAAGAAAAATTTCTCCAAAAACCGTCCAGGCCATAAACGTGGATTCTTGAAGAACCAAAAACCACTTAGGCCATAAACGTGGATTCTTGAAGAACCAAAAACCACTTAGGCCATAAACGTGGATTCTTGAAGAACCAAAAACCACTTAGGCCATAAACGTGGATTCTTGAAGAACCAAAAACCACTTAGGCCATAAACGTGGATTCTTGAAGAACCAAAAACCACATAGGCCATTACCCGAGATTTTTAAAGAAAACTTTCTCCAAAAACATCCAGGCCATAAACGTGGATTTTTAAAGAAAATTTTCTCCAAAAACAATCCAGGCCATAACCCGAGACTTTTTAAGAAAATTTTCTGTAATCCATAAACCGGGATTTCTAAAGAATCTTTTCCTAGAAGCTTCCATGGTATACTCTGGAAGTTTTTCAAGGTTTTTTTTCAAGGACTATTCATGATCGCGAAGATTTAGAAAGTTTTTTCATGGATCATCCATGGTATGAACGTGGATTTTGAAAGAAGAATCTTTCAAGGATAATCCGAGATGTGAAAATTGATTTGTAGAACCAATTTTTAAAAATTGTTTCCCTGTTTTCGTAAATTAATTAAAACGCTTTTTTTTTGTTATCTAAAAATTTTATTACACAAATTTTATTCAACCAATTTCTTAGCCTTTATAAGCACCTTTCTTGCCAAGGCCACCGCCAATACCAGCTCCAATACCACCGCCAAGACTGCCACCAATTCCAGCACCGGCATTAGCATTTGCCTCAGCACTAGCCACAGCCTGAGCACCAGCAAGACCTCCAAGTGAGTGTGCATTGGCATTTGAATTGGCAATGGCAGAAGAGCCACCAATTCCGGCCCCAATTCCAGCTCCCAGACCACCACCGAGACTGCCACCAATTCCTGCACCGGCACCATATTTTCCAGCACTTACGGCCATAATGCCAATAGATAGGGCTCCCAAAATGCTAAAGATTTTCATTTTCGGTTGTTGAAACTTTCTGTTCTACCCAAAAGGAATTATTGGTGTGTTTAAGATTTTTGCCAAGTGCGGGCCTTTTTATATATTTCGGAAAGAGATTTTGTCGAGGACCGTTATTAGCTAAAAATAAAAAAGAAAGAAGCAAAACTAGCTTTTCGAAAATATTGGCTAATCAAGAAATGCAAACTTAAAAGTACGTCATTAATTCGATGAATCTGTATTGTTTTGCTTTTTTAATTAAAAGTTTCAATAAAAATGGGACAGTTTAAAAACAGTAGCAGATTAATTATATAATCAATTCAAGGTCTTACATGACTAGGGGTTGAGAGGTCTTCTACAAATTAAGGGCCCCTATAGCTAAAAGACTTAAAAAAGGATTTTTTTAATGGGAATGATGAATGTCTTGGTAGAAAAAGAACTATTAGCAGAAGTTTTGTTAAGAAAAGACCAGCCAAAAGTTATCTAAAGATAAAGGGTATCAAAAATCACCCATCGATCCAAGAGTTTCAAGAGCTCATTTACGGGTAGAATAAATTCAAGAGGTCATTTACAAGTGAGAGGGGTTCATAAAACCAAATTTAAAAGTAATCTATAAAAAAGAAGTCATCAAAGGCTCCCATATTTAAATGGATGACCTTCAAGAGATCACCTTTGGATGGAAGGCCTTCCAAGATCATAAAAATTAAAAAAAAAATGGAAGAGGATTTCTACATATTAAAAGTCTCCAAAGGTCCTTCGATAAAAAGAAGGCCTTCTAAAGATATTTTATAAAAAATAGGCCTTTATAGGGTCTTCTGTTGATGGATGACCTTCAACAGGTCACCTTTGGATGGAAGGCCTTCCAAGATCCTAAAAATTAAAAACAAAATGGAAGAGGATTTCTACATATTGAAAACCGCCAAAGTTCCTTCGATAAAAAGAAGGCCTTCTAAAGATATTTTATAAAAAATAGGCCTTTATAAGGTCTTCTGTTGATGGATGAACTTTCATGAGGTCACCTTTGGATGGAAACAGAATGGAAAAGGATTTCTACATATTGAAAACCTCCAAAGGTCCTTCGATAAGAAGAAGGATTTCTAAAGATATTTTATAGATGGCAATTTCAAGCATCCATGCATAGATCCTGAAGGTCTTTAATTTAAAGACAGCATTTGGTTTCTACTGCTTGAAGGCCCTTTTAAGGATTTGTGTACACGGTGAGATGAAAAAACTACAACAAACTTCAGACTTCTGTCATTTTTAAGTCACTCGTCCGACAGCTGTTATTAGTGAGCTGAACATATCGCAATATTCCATTTGGCAAATATTGAAAAATGAGCTCGGGGTAAAGCCATTGAAACTCCAAAAATTGCAAGAACTTACACCGCAACAGAAAGAAAATAGACTCTACGGAGTTGTTTCGCTTGGCCGAAAGTGGTGAACTGCCGAATTTGATTTTCTCCGATGAGAAAACATTCGTTGTGCAGTAGTTTGTAAACAAATAAAATGATCGTGTTTACTTGCCAAAGAGGTCAGCTGTAAATGCGTACCCTTGGTTGGCCACCAGAACTCAAGCTCTGTCCATAGTGAAAATGTGGGCCGCCATAGCAATGGTCGCTCTCCGCTTGTGTTAATCGACTGTGGCATCAAAATAAATGCCGAATATTATCGCGAAAATATTCCGGAGGGTGTATTAAAGCATCGGGCACGCAAACATTTTGGCCGTAGACCTTGGACATTCCAACAGAACTCAGCGCGATCGCACTCAGCACCCAAGAAAGGTTACGAAATGAATTTCCTCGCTTCATTTCCAGCGCACAATGGCCACGAAAATCTCCGGATACCAATCCGTTGGACTATTGTGTCTGGAGTATTTTGGAAAGCAAAGTTGGCACTAAAAAATACCAAAGTGTCGATCACCTCAAGCAAGCGCTTCGCCGGGAATGGGCCAAAATACGGCAGAGCAACATTCGGGCAGCATGTGCCGGTTTCATTGGCCGTTTGAAGGCCATAATTCATACCAAAGGTGACCAATTCGAACAAATCTAAACATATTCTAAAATTTGAAGCTATTTCCTTTTTGCCAGTCTCCTGCCTCAAAGCTCTTCCCTCGTTAGAAGACCTTTGAATGACTGATATATTCAAAAGACCCTTAAAGGTATTCAAAAGCCAAAATACCCTCTGCAAGTCCCCTTCCATTAAAGACCTTTTGCACGCCTCTTCTCCTCATAAATTCCATCGAATACCATTTTTTGCATATCTACTCTGTAGATATAATTACTTATATTATGGCGTAATATTATATTATATTAAATTATATAATAAATTTGCTACCGTTTGCTAATTGTTTCCCGTTACTAAAAAAAAATCTTTCAAAGAAGTAAATTATTTAAATAATTAGCATCAATGATGCACTTTTTGTATTAAGCTTGCATTTTTTTCTGGTTGTCCCATTTCTTTTATGTTCTTGTCATACGAAAAAAAAATCAAATTTCTTTCTCAGAGCTAGTTTTACTTGTTTCCAATAACGGAACTATGCAACAGATCTTTCAAAGAAAAATATATATAAAGACCCACATTAGGGCAAAACAACTAATAATTTCTCGAGAGTAGAACAAAAAGTTTCAAGAACCGAAAATGAAAATCTTCAGCATTTTGGGAGCTCTATCTATTGGCATTATGGCCGTAAGTGCTGGAAGTTATGGTGCCGGTGCTGGAATTGGTGGCAGTCTCGGTGGTGGTGGTGGTCTGGGAGCTGGAATTGGGGCTGGAATTGGTGGCGCTTCCGCCATTGCCAATTCAAATGCAAATGCACACTCACTTGGAGGCCTTGCTGGTGCTGAGGCTGTGGCTAATGCTGACGCAAATGCAAATGCAGGTCTTGGAGGTAGTATTGGAGCTGGTATTGGCGGTGGCCTTGGCTTTAAGCGTAAATTGATAGGCTAGGAGATCCGTTAAATAAAATTTGCGTAATAAAAAAAATGAGATAACGAAGAATAATACGATTCCATTCATTTCTAAAGGGCAGAGGAGTATAAAAACGTTTTTAAAGAAAAAAATTTAATTCTTGGCCATAAACGTGGATTTTTTAAAAAAATCTCTTAATTCCAGTCCATGAACGTTGATTTGTATAGAAAAATTTCTCTAGATGCCATCCAGGCCATAAACGTGGATTTTTAAAGAAAAATTTCTCTAGGAACCATCCAGGCCATAAGCGTTGATTTTTAATGAAGATTCTATCCGGGGACCATAAACTTGGATTTTTAAAGAAAAATTTCTCTAGGAACCATCCAGGCCATAAGCGTTGATTTTTAAAGAAGATTCTATCCGGGGACCATAAACTTGGATTTTTAAAGACAAATTTCTTTAAGAACCATCCAGGCCATAAACGTTGATTTTTAAAAAAAATTTTTCTCTAGGAACCCTCCAAGCTATAAACGGGGGTTTTTAAGGAACATATTTTCATGGACCGTCGATTTCACAAATCGTGAATTTTTAGAGAAAAATTTTTCTATGATTCATCCAGGCCATAAACGTGAATTTTTAGAGAAGTTTTGGATCAAGGAACGTCGGAGCCATGAACGTGGATTTAATGCTTGAAATTTGACGTTTATAGGTTGAATGGTCCTTGAAATTTATTTTTGTTTAATATCCATGTTTATAGTTTGGATAGTCCTTGAAAAAATATTCTTTAAAAATCCACGTTTGTGGCTTGGATGGTCCTTGATAAAAACTTCCTTAAAAAATCCATTTTTATAGCGTGTATGATCCTTGGAAAAATCGTTTTTCAAAATCCCCGTATAAAGATTATATGGTCCTTGAAGAAATCTTATTTAAAATTCTATGTTTAGAGCTTGGATGCTCTTTGAAAAAATCTCCTTTAAAAAGCCACGTTTACGGATTAGAAGGTCGTTGGAAATCTTCCTTAAAAACCATATTTCTGGCATGGGTGGTCCTTGGAAAAATCATCTTTAAAAATCCGCGTTTATAGCTTAAATTGTTCTTAAAAAAATCCAAGGGTATGGCTCTGAATGTCCTTAAAACAATCTTTATTGAAAACACATATTTATAGCTTGGATTATTGTTGAAAACATATTCTTTAATAATCAGCATTTATGGTTTATATGCTCCTTGAAAAAATCTCCCTTAAAATCCACGTAAGTGACATTAAAGGTCCTTGAAAAAAAATCCATATAGGCTAGATGGTCCTCAAAAAAATCTTTTTTTTTTTTAAAACCATATTTACAGCTTGGATGGTATTTTAAAAAATCTTCTGTAAAAACTCTCGTTTACGGATGAGATGTTCCTTGAAAAAAATCTTGAAAATCCTTGGTCCTTTGAAAATATTTTATTTAAAAACGGGCGTTTATGGCTTCAATGCTCCTTGAAAAAAAATCATCTTTAAAAATACATGTTTATGACTTGGATGGTCCTTGAAAAAATCCTCTTTAAAAATCCTCGTTTAAAAGTTATATGGTCCTCAAAGAAATCTTTTTTAAAAATCCAAGTTTATAGCTGGGATGGACCTTGGAAAGTTCGTTCATAAAAATCCACGTTTATAGCTTGGATTGATGAAAATACTCTTTGATAATCCACGTTTTCAGCTTGGACGTTCGTTGAGAAATTATTCTCTGAAAATCCCTGGTTATAGCTTTAATGGTTCTTGTAAAATATTTTTTAGAAACCGTCTTTTATAGCTGGGATAGTCGTTGAAAAAATCTTCTTTAAAATTCACATATATGGCTTGGATGTTCCTTAAAAAAAAAACTTTTTCTAATTCCGTGTTAATGGCTTGGATGGTCCTTAAAAAATATTCGTTAAAAATCCAAGTTAAAAGGTTCTTGAAAAAATATTTTTTATTGCTCACATGATCCTTGAGAACATTTTTCTTAAAAATCCACGCCTTGGGTTGGTCCTTGAAAAACTATTATTTAAATGTTCCCGATGGTCCCTGAAAATTCTTTTTTTAAATATCCCTAGTGTGGTCATTAAAAAAAAAAACTTTTCTTTAAATGTCTCCG